ATGCACATTACAAACAAATGTTATGGAGAAACAAAAGGCCTTTTGTGTGAATAGTTCACTAAAAAATGAAAATCTTTCATTTACCCTTCTTCGTGTTGTTCTAAACCTATATGCTTATGAAAAAAATAGTAGAAATAGTAGCCCATATGACCTGTGTGCTATATTCAAAGTTCTCTAAAAACATACAGTGTATGAGGATCAGACTGAACTTTCAGTTGTTGTTGTTATTTATTATTTAATGAATTATTCCTTGTAATGCGTTGAGACATTTTTATTAGTGCTTGAGCTTGTTTCTGCCACGTGATAAAAAAAATATATATAATTATGACTTTTTATCTCTTAATTCTTTACTTTTTTCCTCACAGTACTGACTTCATATGTTACAAATCTGCCTTTTTTTTCTTGCAGTTCTGAGAAAAAAATCGTAATTGTGAGATTAAAACTCACAATTCTAAGATGAAAAGTCTGAATTGTGAGATTAAAAAGATTTTTTATTTTTTGTTCTGTGGCGGACACTCGCAATTATGAGGAGAAAAGACAGAATTGTGATATATAAAGTCAAATTTGTTTGATAAAGGTGCAATTACCTCTTGTTTTTTAATTCTGTTGCAGAAACAAAAAACAGAATTGCAAGATGTAAAGTCACAATTCTGAGTAAAAAGTCATAATTGTGAGATTTACATTTTTTTTTAAGAGAAAGTCACAATTACTTTTTAGTTTTTTATTCCATGGCAAAAAAAAAAAAAAAGAATGTAAACACAATTCTAAGGAAGAATGACAGAATTGTGAGACATGAACTTGAAAATCAGAATTTTTACATGTTTATGTGGGTTTTCTGTGTCCCAATTGTCAGATATAAACTTGCAGTTGCAAGAAAAAAAAGTCGGAATTGCGAGAGAATTGCAAGAAAAGTCTGAATTACTTTTTTTGGTTTAATTCCATGGTGGGGGAAAAAAACTGTTGCGAGATGTAAACATGCAATTCTAAAGAAAAATGAGGATTGCGAGATCTAATTAGTTTCAGTTCTGTGTCGGAAACAAAAAAGCAGAGTTGGGAGAAAAAAAGTGGCAGTTTTCTTTGTTTTTTATTTTGTGCAGTAAAAAAACAATTTTGAGATGTAAACGCAGAATTATGAGGGAAAAAAGACTTACGAGATAAACTCGCAGTTGTGAGAAAAAGTCAGTTAATTTTTTTATTAGGTGCCTGAAACAAAAAAAAACAAAAAACAGAATTGTGAGATGTTAAGCCGCAATTCTGAGGGTAAAAAACAGGCTTATGAAATATAAACTTGCAGTTCTAAGAAGAAAAGTCTGAATTCTCAAAATTGCAAGAAAATAAGCTTCCATACAAACTAGAGCATGTCGATGATAATGTCGGCTAATATGGCTGTGTGCACTGTTTCAAACAGGAAGCATCACTCTGAAAATCCTTCCAAAGATCGAGACAAAGGGACTGACGGCAGACGATGTGACGACGCTCTCCGAGCAATCGTTTGGCATCATGCGTTCGGCCTTCCTGGAGATCTCTGGACAAACGGTGCAGAGCAACGGGCCATCCACCCACTGAGCGCCCTTTCATTCGCTCCGACAACAAGGATGGCTTGAGACTACTTCGTCGTCGTCGTGGTGATGTTAACCATGACAGCCAGGTGCTTTAGTGTCCTCTCCGACGTCCTCATGAAGCAGGAACACGTCCATACAGACAGACACATATACATTCACCTTGACTACGGTGCATACAGCAGATGTTATCTTAGCCTAGTTTTGATCTCCCGTTGGACTCCGGGGGGCGCTAAGCGACAGAAAGGCGTTTTTTTCTGGCGCAACACTTAGTTCCACATCATTTTCGATGTTGGTTCGGCTCAGACTTCTTTTGTCGGCGACAGGTTGAGTTTTGGAGCGACGCCCTGAGAACATCGTGGATGTGCGTTCGACATGCATGCCTTTTCTATGTTCCACTTCCTTTCACTGATCTACAGAGACTCGTTCTGTTTGTTTGTGTAGGTCGTTTTTCTCGAGGTTCTCTGCTTGCATTATGAGAAATCGGTGACAAACATCTGTGTTTGTTTTACTTCTCTGTCTTTTTTTCGTATGCAAGTGTATTTTTCTTTAGACACGCCCCTTTATTGTTTTAAATAACTTTATTGATTCATTGACCAAAAAGAATAATTTGGAAATGTCCAAATGTGTCGTCACAACCAAGGATTCGGAAAATGCTTATTAATTCCGTTTCCTCTTTTGTCATTAAAAAGTTTCGTTTATAACCAATATCTCCATTGTCACCGTTACAAAGTGCGGCTTCTTCTTGTGCCATGTGTCCAAAGTGTCTCAGCCGTTGGCTGCGTATAATGGTAGAATATTGTGGAAAAACACTATTGATTATTGATCTGTGATCAGGATTGTTTGATTAGCGTTTAGGATAGAAATACGTTCCAGTTGGCTTAAGTTCGGTGCTTTGCTCATTTCCTGTTTTGGTTTGTTTTCAGGCTACAAAATATTTTCATTTCTAAAAATGTACTTAACATTGTTCAATCCTTTTGTTTAAACTAAAAACCATTGGCAAGGGAATTGTTATTATAATAACTAATCGAAGAAGTATTATCTAACACATTATATAGAGTATGGCGTTATCTAAGCAGCCAATTTAACTAAAATGTGTTTAAGAGCCTTTATTATTAATAGTCAGATTTTGAAGGACAAAATCAAAAATCTATTTTATATTTGTTGGCAAAACTTGGATTTTTCTTTCAAAACCTGCTGCTAAAATTATCCAGAGAAATTATTATAATGTAAAATGCTGAGGTTTGTAATATTTTTAAGTGGATGTTGACGAACGTGATCATAAATGGCGCTAAATTGCACTCTAGAAATGAGCCACGTTCACAGATCGTCAACGTCTAGTAATTGTCATGAGCTTATTTCTGCTCATAGATCAGGTATTAAACTTTATCCTCAACTTTACAGTTTAACAAAGAAAGTCCATATTTAAACAAATTATCAAAATAAATATATATAAATCTGAATATGTGAAAATGGCATTCACAATTTAATCTCAAAATGACCAATTATTTAACACCTATTTATTAAACCAGACTGTATCGACAGCTTAGGGCAGTAAAGTAAGATGAATATTTGTTATTACTTTCTAATCGCATTGCATTGTTGAATCTTCCATTTAATGCTTATTGTTGCAGTTCTTATTGTTTGTTAAGAATGTATAACATCTGATCCTTAATTTAATATGTACAATATTATTTAAGAGGACTGAATTGTACGTATCTTATTATAACGGCTCGTTGAGCTGAAAGACATTTTGCTTTGAACGAATGTTCAGTTTGGTTTATGCTAAATGTCCAAATTAGGCCCTGTTATTTAGTACAAATATAAACTCTTTTATGTTGTGTATTAGTTCACAGATTTTATAAGCCCCTTGTTTTGGATGTCATTTTTGCCCTGCTGACTGAAAACCATGCTGCGTTCACGAAACAGTGTGTACAAGGTGTTGTGTGATTTTCACCAAAGCTATTAAGGATGTACAACAGGTGAAGCTTGTAAACGCTCTGATTATAAGATCCGTTAGACGAACCTGTCAGACATTTCACGGTCAGCCTTGTGTACGTGTGTGTATGAGAGAGAGAGAGAGAGAGAGAGAGAGAGAGAGAGTGTGTGTGTGTGTGTGTGTGTGTGTCCATTGTGTGCGCTGAATGTGTTTGTATGGTGACCCGACACACAAATGAGCTAAAGCCCATTGTAAAATCTGTAACGTTATATAAGACGATGATTATATATAAAAATGTTGATTGTGGTAGAATCTGGATGCGACCTGTGTTAAGAACATCTAGGACAAAGAGTCAATAAAATCGTCTGTTTTTCCAATAGGAATGGTAGAAGTTGTTCTTGACGTTTGTCGTCTGTCTGTCAATTTATTCACTTACACATTTAATAAATCTAAACGAGGACGTACCTTAGACTTATGATTACTACAGACAAACCCAAAACCTAAAAGAAAAATATTAGCATTTTTAGATGTGCATTTTATTTGTTTTTTTTTTTGTTGTTTTTTCAAATAATCTGTAGTTTTATTTTATATTTAAAACAAATCTGTATTTTGTGATCCAATTGCAAATTTTCCAATACACAAAGTATGGAGCTAAAATAGTGTCAAAATGAAGGGATTAACAAATGTGCAAGCAAATTCACATTCACAAAACGTGAATATAGTTTCAAAAAGAAATGAACAAACTCTGCATCTAATTTTGTGAATGTACATTTTGTTGTGAATTTGCATGCTTTGCTTATTAATAGATTTACAAAATAAATATGATTCACCAATGCTCAATTCACATTCATAAAAATAAGTTATTGCAAAACAGCAGTTCACAAATCCATGACCTAATTTATATACACAGTAAATTTGGACAAAAATATTTTGTGAATATTTACATAATGTATTTACAAAATATTATTCACAAATGCTCAATTCATATTCACAAAAAGAAGTTTATATATTTGCTAACAGTAATTCATAAAATTTAGGGATGCACCGATACCACTTTTTCCAGTACTAGCCCGATACCGATACTTTTGGTATCGGTGCATCCATAATAAAATTCATAACCTAATTTATATTCACAAAATGAAATTTGGAAATGCAGAAAAATGTTTCGTGAAATGTAAATTTGGTTGAACATTTGCATACTTGGCTTAATATATTTAGAAAATATGATTCACAAATGCTTAATTCACATTCACAAAAATAAGCTGATATATTTGCAAACAGGAATTCAACTCATAACTTGTAAGTTAGGTGAATTAAGTTGAGAGTTTTTACATTTGTTTGAATATTTTATAAATATGCTCATTTTGAAACTATTGTAGCTCCATAGTAAAAGCAGGTTTTGTCAAATATAGACAACTTCTGGGACAATTTTTTCTCCAAACTATAGAATTATAAACCTCAGATAATCGATGTTGTACAAATTGTGAACCACAAACTCAAGAAACATTCAAAGTTTATGCAATTTTATTACAAAAATGTAAACATAAAATGATACAAAAAAAGAAAATACAATTTTGTATTGTTTTCCCAATAGCAATACTCAGGAAGGACATGAATTTATAAATATGTAAATTTACATTTCTCCTGACTCAAACTTGGAGAGACCATACAGCTGCACTTACACCACAGATTAAATGAAAGAAATACATAGAAAAATACTGCGAAATATCCAAGCACCAGCTCATTTTGGCCAAACAGGAGTTTGTGTGTTTGACATTTTGTTTCCCTACATGCTTTTTGAGTGAACTGAACATGTTTACAGGGTTCATGCCTTTGATCAGTGTTGCGGTTGTTCATTTAGACTTTTCAGATATCGGTTTCACTTGTGTCAGAGGATCCAGCCCATCTTTGATCGTCTAGTTCTCCTGGCAGGCACCTAATGAAGTTGTTTTTGTTATTTTATCAATTGAAACGGATTGTACAGATAAGTTTCATACACACAGATATATGCTTACAGGCTCCGATACGCTCCTCCAGGAATCCGACCTGCTCACTTAGCGAGTCGATGCGGTCTAGTTGCTGCAGAGAATGCGACAGGAAGTTGGTCCTCTCAGGCAGGAAGCTGTTAGTGTCTCCCACACCATCCAAGGGGAAGAGCGTAGTGAAGGGAGCCAGAACCATCTCTAGTTTCTACAGAAAGGAATGGCTTTTTACATTTGAGGACACTCAAATCATAAGTTTACAAATGGCAAATATGAGAATAAGGTTTCATACAGTAGTACTTAATAATTAACAAACTAACAATGCACAATACTTCTACAGCATTTATTAATCTTAGTTTTTAATTTCAACATTTACTAATACATTTTTAAAGTTGTTAATGCACTGAGTGAACTAACATGAACAATTGTCTTTAGTAACTAACATTAACAAAGATTAACAAATGCTGTAAAACAGATAAAGCATACAATTATATTACTATTTTTGCAGCATGTGGTAAGTTTTTGCAGATTTTCTGTATGCATGGATGGACAGTGTTGGGGAGTAACTAGTTACATGTAACGGCGTTACGTAATTTAATTACAAAATAAATGTAACTGTTTCTGGATGTCCTGTAAAGAGCACACTCAGGGCTTTCCAGAGATACCAAATGATTGGATGTTTCACCATGGCCACTCCCTCTCCTTGGTTTTTAAAAATGGCTGACATTAATTAACCTATTACATTTTCAAAGTAACCGTCCCAACACTGTGGATGGATGACATACTACATTCACCAAAATGTGCAAATGCACTGCAGACTATTACATTAACCATTAAATAAACCATTTATCTATTAAATAAACTATTAAAGAAAATTTTACTTGAAATACGTAGTGTAAATATTTTCTACAATTAAATAAAATATAAATAACTTTAAAATTTAAATTTAAACTTTTTAAAATTTAAAATGCAACTTTAAAGTTTAACTTGATGTACAAAAATAACTCAAACTAAGATTTAAAAATAAAAACTCATGAAAACTATGTAGACATAAAAAACAAAAACTAATAAAAATGGCATAAACACACAACAAAATTACCAAAAATGTAGCTATAATTTAAATTGAAATGGAAAAAAAAAAATACTATTAAAAAAATTCTAACTATTTATAAAAACTATAATAGTTTAACGGTTAACGGTCACCTGTATCTGCCTGTGTTTAATGCTTCAGAATCTGTGATGTGTGAGCTTGACTACTGCTTTTAATTAAACTATTAGCGAGGCTTTGAACCAGTAAGCTGTTTCCCATCGTTTGAAGTGGGATGTGTCCCGAGGGTGTGTGTGTGTGTGTGTGTGAGACCTGCTCGAGGAGCTCCACTCTGTTTTTAAGGATCTGAACTTCTTCGGTAACGTTTTCCACCAATCCCAAACCTCCACCTTCAAGAACAAAAGAAATACACAAAAATCAGAGACGGACCACACACACACACACACTGACATTCAGCCTTAATTAAAACCTTTAATGCAGCGCACAACTCTATTTTTGATGTTTTAAGATCCAGGCTTTGAACATAAATAATGCTTATATTCAGCAACATGCAAACACACAAACTGACTGGGAGCTTTTGTAAGACTTTCAGAAAGCACTGTTGTTTTATGTTATATTTCTGCATGTTCTCTGCTTTCATGTTTTCGTGATTAATATCCGTAGCGATCCCAGAGCAGACCAAAGAGCACAGATGAATAAAAAGACAGACATAAATAGAAAGAGAGAGAAGGAGTGGAGGGGGTGATAAAAGGGGGAAAGTTTGAGGTTTGGCAAGAATATGATGCAAATACTTTGATATGCACTCGGGTCCAGAAGTCTGAGACCATTAGTGAAAATGTTTCTTCTTTGATTTTTTTTAAATGTTTTATTTAATACAAATTATATTAACCGCAAAAAAAAAAAAAATCAAACTTAATTTATATGAATTGTTTTCTTTAGTTAAACATTTTATTTTTTTTATTTATATGAATTTATTTATTTAGTTACATTTTATTTAGAATTTTTACATTTTTCAGTTGTATTTAATTAATTATTTTAGTTATTTTATATATTATTTTTTTAAATAAATAATGCTTGTGTTGATAAAATTATTTTATTAAATAATGTATTTTATTAAGTACTTCAATTATTTATTAATGTATTTTATTTATATGATTGTTTATTTATTTTAAATTATTTACTTATTGAAAATGATGCATTGATTTATTTAATTATTTATCAGATTATTTATTTAGTTTTTAATTATTAAACAATTTATTAAATATTATTGCTTTAATAATAGCAGCACTCTATTGTGAATTGTCTCAAAGAACATCTTTTGCTTCAGTGGAAGCAGGAACATCTGACCGCCTTTGCAAAGTCACATGTCACTAATTTGCTAATTGTGACCAAGAAAGAGAACAAAATCTGAAACATTTCCTCATGTTACTTCATGTTTCTTTTGCTTAAAATGATTCAAAAACCTACAACTTTATTAATTTCCAGGTTAAAATGAGAAAATCCCATTGTTCTCAGACTTTTGCACCCCACTGTACATGAAATCAGGTCAGATTTAATCACAAGCTCTAGTAAAAGAATAACCGATGACTGTGATTGGTTGTTTTGTGAATGGAAGTGATTGACACCCAATCATATCAGAGCTCAGCCCAGTAAGCCCCGCCCCTTGGCAATTATTCGGAATGTTTTTGGTTGTGAGCTCTAACAGTCTAAAAACAGTCTAACAACTAGTCAATGGGTCGCACACACACACACCGAAACTCAGTCAATCTGTCCCAGATGTGTGGTGTTATGAAGACACGTGGGAGCGAGCGAGAGCCACTGTGTGTGTGTGTGTGTGTGTGTGTGTGTGTGTGAGAGGGAAAGCAGTGACCCCCAGCAGTCTGAGTTTGATAGATCTGGAATGTGAGCTCCAGATCGAGCCAAAACGAAAGCGGGAACAACAGCTACAAATGGTGTCCGGCGGTGGCCTCTGCAAAATCGCCATCATCACACAGCTAAACATTCAGCTTCCTGTTCTTCTATCTGACGACACTAATGTAGTTATAAACTCCAGCTTTCTGGGGCTTTGGGCCCCATAAACTCAACGGAGTGTTTGGACATTCATTTATGTGGTCAGAATGACATTATAACTAGAGATAAGAACAAAGAGCAATGCTCTCTCTTTCTAAACAATTCACTTAAAGATAAGGAATGACATTTTTAGCCAAAGTTAAAAATACTCTCTCGTTCCACTTGTGTACATATGTGCAAAATCAGCAAGTTTAGTACAACAATAAAAAAAGCTCATTAAAACAGACAACGCAAGAAAGACATGTTTAAATGACTTAAACATATCTTTAACACATGCACACATTGAATAAGCAATTAGACATTTTGCCTTTAACATGTATTAATAAATACCTAAATAATATAAAAAATACCATAGTCTGTTTTTGGTACTACAGAATAGTAATCTGGTATTAGCCAACACTGCCATAATTAATTAATGAATTAATTAAAGCAAGAATATTTTTTTTTTAAATAGAATGGATTTTATTGAATATTTATTTTAATATTTTATATTATTTTTATTTTTTTTATATAATTTTACCTTTTTTTATATTATACATTTTATTTTTATTAAATTAGTAATAGTTTTATTAAATTAATAATTTTTTTTTTTATTATATTTTTTACTGTAGCAACAGTAACAAGATAACCATTTGGTGTAAACTGAATAAAATGAGCTTACACCTTGAGGTTTGTTGAAAGTATTCTGTTATTAGCTACAACTGTCATCAGAAAAGAAAAAGATTTTAAAAAGCTTACATATTTCTTTATTAAATATTTTAAATTAACATTTTATTATTTATTTATATATAATTAGTGTAAACTATGGTTACCATAGAAAATATTTGTAAGTGAACTGATGTCTGAGTGTGACTCCGGGTCAAACTCAACCACACTAGTGCTCAGGGTCACTCAGAGGCTTTCTTCGAAATGTTTTTCTTATGATAAAAACAAAGCGTTTCCCTACAGAAACATGGTTTTCAACAAACGTTTAGGTGACCTTGCTAGCGTGGATCCAGACATTATTGCCGAGACGTGGAAATGTGCTGCTCTCTTGTTCAAACTGCAGGAATGTGTGTTTGAGCTCGGGCCAGCGGTCAGAACGAGTGGCGATTATTTTAGCTTGTCGCTAGGAAACATGACTATCTAGGTTTCAGAGGAGATTCTGATCCTGCTGTTATTTTAAAATCACAGACAGATTTGAAATAGTGTAGGGAGAGAAAAATGAAGAAACAAAGAAAAAGAGGAGCGAGAGCGAGACGCTGCCAACACAAGCTCGATTTGGCAAACTAGAGAGAATAACGCTCAGCAGTTCTCATAAAGACATTAGACACTTCTCAGCTGAAAGAAACATCACTAGGCTGACAATTAGAAGCACATCAGTTGTGTTTCGTTCTGCACAGGGTTGTTATAGTTACATGACAACTCTCGGAACATTTTAGCATGGTCATGGATATGACAATGTTAATGTATTTGGTCTTGGCGGAACAGATCTGCTACGCTGCTGCTGAATTGCTGCTGCTGTTGGTTATTGCTGTAGTTGTAGATTATTGCTGCTGCTGCAAGCAAGTACAGGAACTTGCTACTGCCAATGCATACGGCGATACGGTGCCGTGAGTATTTAAGACATACTGCTGCTGCACAAATAGCATATAAAATAACCCCATAGCAGATCTATACAGGTGGAGCTGGGGAAGGTGGAGGGTTTCAGAGAACTCTGAAAGCGCGCTGCAGGAAATCTCAAGGGAATGCTAGCCAGCCATATAAATGCAAGGCAGTAAGCTCATTGGCTGCATATGCAGCATGAACCAATCAGCTTGTGCCAAGTCGTTTAACTCTCTGAATATCATCAGTTACGTTAACACCCCGTCAGAATGCGCCATCTAGAGTTTCATGACTGAACTATATATTTAAACATTTTTGTTACTTGAAATAAAGCTGAAATAAATATTACATGAAAAATGGAATTAAACTTTTACATCTTGGAAAGTTAAAGCACTAAAATGAACTAAAACTGGAAATAAATAAAAACTGATCTAAAACTAACTCTTAAATTAAAAAAAAAATCAATGAAACCTAAATAGTAATATAAAAAAAATAAAAAAAGAGACGAACTAAACTTCAAATGAAAACTGAAAATATTAAAATTAAACAATTCAAAATATTAATAATGACTATTTACAATTTACAACCATTCATGATGACTTGTTTATTGTTTATTATTAATATTATATAATTATTATTTAATTGTTATTTGAAATATATATAATTATTTAAAATAATAATTAAAATATTAATAATAATTAAAATAATCTTCAAGTAAAAGTTAAATGAAAATTAAAAATGAAATAAAAATAAATAAATAAATCTAAATAGTAAATTGTAATATATATGCACAAAATAAACAAAATAAAAAATTAAATTAAAATGAAAAGCAAAATATAAAAAATAAAGCTAATTCATATAAATAAATATTAATAACATATATTTATGAGTATATTAAAACAACACTTGTTCTGCATTCTGTCATTTTCAAGCAAAGGTTTAGTTGTCGTATAGACTAACTAAAACTACAACAGAAAATAAAAATAAATTAAACCTAAATAGTGGTTTAAAATAACAATAATAATAATAATAAAATTACAAAGGCACATAACAAAATTACTTAAAATAAAAACTTAAAATAAAATAAAAATATTAATAATTTTTAATAATATTAAAATAATAAATCATATTTTACATTCTCTGCACTGGCTACCTATTAAGTTCCGTATCAGTTACAAAATATTATCCTATATCCTATTATCCTATAGACCAATTATCGGTTTGTAAACATTCAGGATGCGCGCGTATCATGGTTGCAGAAAACCCGGGAGAGATTGCCTTTACGGCTAGAGAATTTCACGGATAGGGTACAAAATAGTTAGGTTTAAAAAGATTATAAATTATATTGATTAGATGTCAGTTTCAAAATGTTCTACACATATTACAAGAGCTTGTCACCCAGCAATAAGCACTGTTATTCATCGAAATTGACGTTAGAGAGTGCGATAGTCTTACAGATCCGAAACAGGGATGACGTTTTTTGTGGGCGGAGCCTATCTGGAGGCAGAAAATGACGGTTTTCAAGCGGTAGTCTATGGAGCCATGGAATAAAAGAATAAAAAAAGGTAAATTTGATTTTATATTTCAAAATTATGACTTTATTCTCGCAATTCCGAGATTATATTTCACAATTCTAATAAGGAAAAACAACTCGTCATTCTCTCTTTTCCCCTCGGCTCTTCTGGCTTTTTTCCCTCAGATTTGACAAACTCACTATTTTTGAGTTAAGTCGAGTTATAAAGTCCGAATTAGGAGATATAAACTTGCATTTGCGAGAAAAAAAAGTCAGAATTGTGAGATAAAGTAAATAAATGTTATGTAAAAATGTTAAATAGTAAGGTTTAAATAATATTTCTAATAGTAAGGTTTAAATAATATTTAATGCTGTAACTGTAGGGCTAATACAATACGTCCCCTATTGTTTAAATCGAATTTATGCTTTAAAAGTAGAGTAATCATAGCAGTTTTCATCCATAGTATGTCCATTTAAACGTCTACTTGTTCCCAGTGTTTTTCTGCAACCACTATGCGCGCGCAGCTGCAAGTGACGTAACTGTGACGTCTACTCTGAATTCGTCTATATAAGAAGACATAAAAACTCACCAAAACATTTTGACTTTTTTTTTTGTGTGTGTATGTGTATTTATCTAAGCACACACATCGCATGTACAGTAAGCCGCCTAGGGGACAGTGTCTCTTTTGCAGCCAAGTACACGTTTAACTCTTTTTAGTATTGGGCACGTTCGGCAGGAGACTGTATATTACGACAGCTTTGACTGATTTTTATGTTATGTTGGAAGGATGACAGAATGCGGCACTGCATTTTTATAATCATTGGATGCCAAAATCAAAAACAAAACTAAAATTCTACTAATCGCACAGCCCCAGTGTCGGCTCACTGCATTTTTTTTTTTTCAATGGAGAAAATATATCTGATTTTTACTTCCAGAATTCTGTAACGGTACCAAAATGTCAGTAGTCGTAGCAGTAAAATTCCACAGTTCTCAGTACCAATTTCTGTACCACGACAAAAACTATTGTCTGTATTCTATTTTAATATTTTTTAACTACTTGAAAATAAAAATATTAAATAAATAAAATTAGTTAATTATTCATTATATGAATAATTATATGTAAATAATACATTAAAACATTAGCATGTATCCTTCAAATACTGTTCAATTATGTAATTAAAAAGATCAAATGAAAGTAATAAAAAAACAAAAACACATTACAGGTAACAGAACAGGTGTCAGGTCTATTGCACTTACACTTCAAGACTTAATGCACAGATCTATTCTTACACATCAGATTGGTTTTGTCCCATCACTGCTGTGGTTATCACTGTCAAACATTGCAATTTCAGATCATCGCTCCTGAAAGAAACTTTTTTGTAAAGAAATTCATGTCTGGAAATTCTGTCTGGGGATTCATCGTTCTTGTATCTATTACTCTGAGTTTGAGTGTTAGTTAAGCCAGTGTGGATGATGGGTCTCTGCATCAGTATGTCTGCGGCTGATGATAATGTATACATGTCTTACCAGCATGGCTTCTGGATGAGCGATCGTCTGCTTTTGGAGGCCCGGTGGGCGGCGGGGAGGGAGCAGGAATTCTTGAACACGTTATTTCATCTTCAGCCAGACTGAATCCGTCCTGACACACACACCGATAACTCCCCACCGTATTCACACACTTCTGTGAGCAGCGATGACCTTCCTTACACTCATCCACATCTGACAGAGAAAAAAGGCTTTTGAAATATGTTTTTGAAATATGTTATCATAATATCTTCAGTATTGTTTCCCCCAAAGCCTCCTTATAATGATAGTAAAGCTTTCTTGCACCAAAACTTCAAAAGGAAGTTTCCTTTTCAACCCTTCAAACCGCCTTTTCACAGCTTTTTATATTTATTAAAATTGTTAAATTATTTATATATTTATTTATTAACATTTTATAGAATTTTTTATTAAATTTTAAATTGTTTTTT